AAGCAAGGACCAAATGCAAAGAACTGGAGAACTGCTGTAGCATTCACTTGCAGTCTGCTTAGTGTGTTTTCTTTAGATGGATCCTTTCAAATCTCAGATTCAATAGCGGCCTCTCATGACGGTTCAGCAAGGGTTTCCTGTAAATTCATCTGGTTTATGTGTGGACTAGGGAAGAGCTTTCTTTAGAGCACCCGAATTAGGGGATCAAGGTGCTGTGCCGAGTGCATTCTTCCCAGTATATTTCCTGTTCTAAATGACTCATTGACAAGTGGCAGTATTGTCTCACTGATAAGTGGCAGTATTAGAACTTGCTGGGAAGTATGAAATACCATTTTTGTTTGATGGATAGGATTAGAGAAGATAGAACAAAAATGCATTAAATTTCCCCCCTAGGGTTCCCTTTGTTAGTATCAGTTTACGTGGCTGGTTTCTTTATGTTTCTGCTTTCTGTTTTCCCCATGGATTTCTCCTGTAAACTCCGCCTGTCAATCCAAGTCTTATTGCTTTCATTTTTAATACTCCAATTGGTACATTTCAGAAAATAAACCAGCTACACTAAATGTGATGTGTGATTCTCTCTGTCAGCCTGAGAAGCTGTACCTGGGTTTCTGGCAGAAGTTAAAACATTGCATATTGAATGAGAAGAGCTGTTTATGATGTGGCCATGGGTGTACCATTATGTGCCCCAAATACATTTTTATGTTTACTATTCACTTTATTATAAAAAAAAAGTTGTGTCAAAGACCTCGAGGAAATTTAGAAAATGCAAGCTCTAATTTTTATAGAAGGGATTTTTTATTTTTCAATTAATTTTTTAGACAGAGATTTACAATACTGTCATAACATGGTAAGATTTTATACATACAGCATTCCAACCATTGTGTCCAAGAAAGACTGGGATTCTTTATTTTTAAGGTTTTTGTTTTGTTTTGTTTTGCTTTGCTTTAGTTACTAACATCTTTCCATTCTTAGATAGCAGGCATTAGATTTCCATTGAACAGTTACAGATAATAACTAATAGTGATGTTGGTCTACCTTTCCTGGGCTTTTATTTCTCACTTTTCTACTAACTTTGGGACCCATCTATATTTCTGATGTCATGCATTGTAATACTGTTTGTAATCATTTGCTACTTATTTTCTCTGCTGTTCTTTCATTATTTTTTCTTTTTGGGTCACACCCAGAGATGCTCAGGGGTTACTCCTGGCTTTGCACTCAGGAATCACTTCTGGTGTGCTCAGGGGACAATATGGGATGCTGGGAATCGAACCCAGATTGGTAGCATGCAAAGCAAATGCCCTACCCGCTGTGCTATTGCTCCAGTCCCTCATTTTTTTTTAAATGAATCTAAATTCTTTATCTATCATGTCTCAGGCTCTTTTCTAAGCAACACAGCCAATGTGATCTCAGCTTTTCCAGCTGATATTTTAGAGAAAAAAGCAGTAAGAATATACATTGTATTAGCCACCTGTAATGAAGTAACAAAATACCACTAAAGGGGTGAATTTAATAGAAATTTAGAAATAATAGAAATTTTTTGTCCTACTTACCTCTTCCTTTTTCTCTCCTCCATTCATTTCACTTCCCGGTCTGTCTGAAACTATCAGGGACACCTTTGTAAATCACAGTGCCTAAATTAAAAAAAATTAAATTGAAAAAAAGAAACATTTTATCATAGTGTTGGGGGCTAGAAGTCAACATCAAGTTAAGGCTAGTAAGAATTCTCTTCCTGACTTCTAGATAGATGATATTTTATTATGTCCTCACATGGTATTTCCTTCAATTTAAGTGAAGAAGCAGAAATGGGGTGGGGAGAAGGAGAGGGAATGGGAGGAAAAAAGGGAGAGAGGAGGAAAGAAAGAAGAGGGGTGGGGAGGAGGAGCTGAGGGTAAGGATAGAGCTCTTTAGTGTCTCTTTCCATTAGGACACTAATCTCAGATCAATATTGCACCCTATGGCCTGATTTCACTCCAAATACAGTCACACTGTTCATCCAGTACTACATGAATTTTGCAAGTACACATATTCAGTATATAGTATATTCATTTTATGATATATATATATATAGATAGATAGATATACAGAGATATACATCAAGAATTGTTTAAAATTACTACTTTGAACAGTGATAATCACAACAGGATAAACATAAGGAAGGAACAAGATACAACCGGGGCAATGTGGTTGTTGCTACTTTCCCCATGGCCTCTCTGAAGAAATGAGCTGAGTGAGACCAAAAGTGAGAGTTAACCTAGTGGGTGTTTGGAGACATGAATATTTTAAGCAGAGGGAAGTTCAAGTACAGTGAAAGAAGATAAGAGTGAGAATGGCAAGATAGTGTGAGAGAGGACCAGTTTGGTTAGATCCTAGTTGACTGTGGGCTGAAAGGTAAGAGGAAATATGAGAACTTTTAATCTAATTGTTCTACTCATTACCTGGAGTTTAAAATTTGTTCTTATTTCAATGGAAAGTCATTGGAGGGTTGCCATCTCATTGAAGTTCAAATAATACACAATTCACTGGGTCTACAGAGAAATCGATGGAATTGGCAATATTTATAGTCATACCTATTTTTGACAAACATTGCAAATGCTTGGTATTTTTATAGGTGGATGGGAAAATTCTTTCCAGTAACTGATATTTCAAATCACTTACATCTATGTAGTAACATTCATATTGAGTAATTATGGGCTCACTCTCTTCAGCACAGTACAATTCTGAGTTCCAACACGTGCAGCTATGGGACTACATAGTTAACACAAGATAATCCAACTGCATCATATCCCCAAATGCCCTTAATGACCCTCTGTAAATAACTCCTTTTTCCAACTTCAGTCTTTGGTATAGACAATTTTTTAAATGTTATTTGCATTTTCTATAATGTAACATAAACTGAGTTGCAGGATATATGGCTTTGAGAATGACTGCTTTTTTAGCATATCTCACTTGATCGAGCGGGCCCAGTAACGTCTCCATTGGAGACTTTGTTGTTACTGTGTCTGGCATATCCAATACTCTCGGTAGCTTGCCGGGGTCTCCTTGTCAATATATTAGGAGTTCTTCCTTTTTTTTCTAAACTGAATCCCATTGTCAAAATATATTGGTTTATCCACTCACTTAAAGGACATGTAGGTAGTTTCATTTTTGGAGGGGGGGTTGAAAGTATCAATAAACCTGCAGTAATCATCACATTAAGGTTCCTGTGTAATTACAAGATGCTTTTATCTTCATTTAATATAATATAAACCAGGGGAACTGTTGAATTGCATGTGTATGTTTAACTTTATATGAAAAGTGCCAAACTCTTTTCCAAAAATGGCTATACTATTTTACATTTTTCTAACAGCAAGGATTGAGAATTCATTTTCTCTGAATATTTACCAGTACTACTACTATCAAATAAAAATTCTTGATTCATTCTAATAGTTATTAGTCAATGTAGTTTCTTTAAAGACATACTATAAATTCTAATATTTGAAGGCTATGTGTAGAAAAGATTCAGTGTACAACAGAATCATACCTTCAGTCTCACTTTTTAAAACAAAATAAGAATGGAATTATACTTCTTTATGAGAGCCAGATATAATAAATCCTAGTTCCCAGGTCCTTGCTTGTAAATTTTCATAGAATCTAAGTTAAAAGAATTTCCCCCTTTAATCTTTTAATCCTGAAACTCAACCCTCCTGCATTCACTGTGAATTTTGTGAAAGACTTCTATAGAAAGGTAACTTATGTGATTCTCTAGTCAAACTATTGGTGACCTAGAAAGATAATGAAAAATTTGTCTCACCAAATTCCACCCCATTGAGTCACATTGTTATTTTATTAAAATTAAAAGTTGTGGTCAGAAAGATAGTACATTGTGTAAGGTTCTCTCTCTCTCTTTCTCTCCCTCTCTCTCAGACTCTCTATTGCACAAAGCCAACCTTGGTTTCATTCCCAGCACTACATATTGTCCCCCAAGCATTACCAAGTATGACATCCCTAAAATGCAAAAAATTAAAAATATTAAGGTAGTAGTTGACTTTAGCTAAAGGAATAGCAAAATGGAATAAGTGTGTGCATTTTCTCAATCTTTTCTCACACCATTGAATACTCTATTAATGCAACTGAGTATATCTCTTCTTTGGCTACCCACTCTTTCCTTGCACTTACTCATGGAGAAGTAGGATTTAAAATTTTGGTGAATAATTCAGATATTAATTAACTCGTGGATTCTATGTTACAGACTAAGCAGAGATAGACAAATGTTCCTTCTGCTAGAAACCAACTTATAATAGATCTCCAGAAGAATTTTCCTTTTTCTGGAGTGCAATGCCCTTATCTTGTTCATAGCTTTCCCCTTATCATTATACAAATGGTCAATGAAAAAACCCAGACTAGGCAATTCTGTTTCTTATGTGCACTCCAGGAGTATAAAGCATAAGTCCAGAGTCTCAACCAATGGCTTAACTGAGTCAAAAACACAATACTATTATCTAAAATTATCCACTGTCTTTTCTGTTTATGAAAAAATGATTTTAGTTTCTATGGGAGAATGTCAACTCATTCCTAGTAAAAATTATCCAAAACTATTTCCTGAATGAGAAGATAACTGCAATTTACATGTATGTAATATCAGTTTCTTTTATAAAACTTAGTGTTATTATTTTGCCATTATCTCCAAGAGCTTTGGAACAGTATTGGCGTTGCATTTTTAGAATATATGTTCCTTAGCTTTTCTCCCCATTGCTTAAACATACTGTTCCACTCATCTGGCATAAGAGAGAGTTTATGCAGCCAATTTTATGGCTTAAATTTGTCATTTTATTCAGAAAAAATTATTTCTCTTTGTGGAATCAAAGCCTATAAATCTCCTTCATATCCTGGTAACAGTTGGTGGCAAAACAATAGGGCGAAACTCTGTCTTTCCCAGAAGTGCGTGGTAACGTTATATTAGCAGTTAGACATGCAGTGGTTTCACAAATCTTCTTTTTGTTCTGTTTGTTTTCTGTTTGCAGATTTTATTCTTCACCGTACAGTATTGCAACCAACCGCATGATTCCACAGACATCTATCACGCCATTCATTGCTGCTTCCCCTGTCTCTACATACCAGGTATGTCTGATTTACCTGCATCTCAGAAGATGTCTTTCTTGCCAAAAATAGACATGTTATATAAAGGCAAAAGGGACACAGTTAATTTTTTTAATTGTCCTCATAATTTTAATCACAATCTTAATGTCATGATACTCAAACTATCAATTACACTGCAATTTCAAGAATTTTTTTTGCATTTATTTCACTGAATAATAAAATTCACCATGCTTTACATTCTTCTCGCTGAGTTTCCATGTTTATGCTACTTAACAGCCAATATTAGTGCAACTTTCTTGCCACTGGGAAATTATTTTGTTTGTTGTATATTATTTTGCTTGTCATATTATTTATTGTGTATGTTCTAAAATCATGCTTTAATATTCCCTCACTCACTCCAGTAATTTTTTTGTTGTCATCTCATTTTGTTAGAGTCCTGTGTATCTGTGTAATACTACATGGATACATGTTGTTAGACCATTTCCCCCAAGAAATGGGGAAGCTTACTGAAGTGGTAAAAAGTCAGTCCTACTCCTTGCTCTTACTTCATTCTTAGTTCCAAAGAGGCTAACAGACCTCAGGGGTTTCATGTGTTGAAACATAAGAAATTCTGAGACTCAATGTGTGTCCTGGACAGATGTAGTTGGTTAATTCTAAGTGAATGGGTAAATTAAAATTGTTGATTCTCTCTCACAAAAGATTCCTTGTCTTAGTTCTTTGAGTTATCAAACACACAGTATTTCTCTCTGCTTCTCTTTACCTCATATTGTTCTTCCGACACATCTTGTGATTAGAGAATGTGGGTAAATCCTAAGTTTCCAGTGTCATTTTTCAAAACTTTGGAGAGAGAAAGACAGAGTGAGAGAGAGAGTGCAAGAGTGTGCATGCTTGTGTTTCTCTTCATTTTGCAGACTGCTGGGTGGATGTTTTACATTGGGTAAAACTGTAATGTTGCTGATGCTGCTAATTCAGTGAAGTTTCACCTTGTTAAGCCACTACATACTTCTTTTCAAGATGTCTTAGTTGTCAGAGCAATGAATTTGAGACTACGTGCATTTTTCCTAAACGATCCCCCTGAAGCAGATTATTTTCATTCTTTTTCTGCACTTAGATTCTTGAGACATGTCAGTGGGCAGATGGAATACCCTTTAATGTAAATTGTATTATAGGGTCTCAGATTCCCTGATTTCTTAATTACCTTTTCTTGGTACCCATGAGGCTAGATGCAGGTGCAGTTCAGTCTTTGTTCTTCCTGCAGGACTGCCTGCCACTTTTTTTTCCTTCAGAATCTTGGCCTCTGTTTCAGCCAAGACCACCCATTGAGCCCCAGTGTAGAGCAATTTGGTGAAATGACTAAAATATCCACAAAAAAAAGTGATTTCACTTGGGAGGGATCCTAAGTGGAATTTAACTCCAGTTCCCTTTTCTCAAAAAGAGAATTAGAGCAATTTCCTATGTTGTTGATTTTCACTTTTCAACAATTTTTTAAAATGTAAAGTGCATTAGCAATTTTATTGGTGGAAATACACCGAAAACAAAATCTTCAAGTTTCTGTATGTGACAGTCAGCTGTTATAAGCTGACTTTCTCATTTGGCTGATGAAAGGAGCATTTTATAATATTTAGCTGGCAGAAATAGTAATTTCTATTTCTCATACCCATTGACACAAGAGGAAAAAGTTAGGGACTTTCTGAATATGGGTATAACCCAAAGCATTCTCCCAAATTTCTGGTTAATTTATAATTCTAACAGAGTCGCTTAAGAATTTGAAATTAGAACTAAAGACATTAAAGTAAGTCTTTGTGTCAACTCCTAACTCCTTAATTATTTGCCAGGGTATCCCAGGGAGTTGTGCTCTAGAAAGAAGATATCTGAGGCCTTCTGATACTTTGGTCTTTAATATCAGCCTTATAATATGCTTCCATACCCAGTATGATCCATGTGGGTACTGCAACTAGCCTCAGAGAAGTAAGATTTTGCTTTATCTATTAGCATAATTCAGAGACTGAATTAATTAGGTCCAAGAATCCTAGTGCTCTAGTTGAGCACTAATTAGCTGCAAAGTCAGATGGACTCCACTTTCTTATGACCTAGTGTGACTCCACTGAACTCAAGAACCAAGTTCTCTCTGTGATTGCTTTGTGCTAATAAATGCTGTTTGATGCATAGGTCCAGAGTACTTCATGGATGCCTCATCCGCCATACGTTATGCAACCAACAGTAAGTGTTCTCAGTCACCTGAGGCTAAATATTTCTATTATCCAAGTGAAAGCTTTGTAATGCATAGAAGCTTTGGGGTAAAGTTTTTGTTTTATTCAGTACCTCTTCAGGCAGCCATAGTTTTCAGATGCAAAGCTGTTCCTGAAATTCTACAAAAGCATGTACTTTAGATCTAGAAGGAAAATCTATAAGAGTGAGAGAGAGCAAGAGCGAGTGAGCGAGCAAGCGAGCGAGAGAGAGAGAGAGAGAGAAAGAGAGAACCACATGGAAGAAATAACCTTCAATCTTCCGAGTTGATTTCTCTACCATTTGTTATGAGTGGGACATTTCTTCAGGCAGGAGCTCAGCATTCTGGACGATTAAATCCATTACAAGAGGAAAGACACACTGTTTTTCTTCTCCCGTTATGCTTTGTTTTCACTAATGTATTTTGGTGTGCTTTGGGGGAAGTTTTGAGTATCATAGCCAAATGTTGACACAAAGCAATGTTTTTGAAATATGGAAGTAGTTGGCTACTAATAGAAAGATCTATAGAAAGATTGCAAAGTGGATATATATTCTCTCTGTTAATGGATTAGAGCTATAATCTTCAGTAGTGAATTTTTTTCCAAAATATTTGAACTTTTACCTAGTTACTACTTTTTGCATTTTGTGGTACAATATTACATAGACTACAGTAAAAAATAAACTACATATTCTGTTAGACTTTAGATTGAAGGATGATGGTTCTGTTTATTTTTGACTTGGTCTTCCCAGTTTTCTACCTGTATAGTAATAGAAGGTCTGGGGGTTTAAATAGAGTTACACTCTTAAATACCTGAGTAGAGAGAAGAACCTAGCTGAAAGTTGTTTGACAAGGTTCAGGATACCCAATCTTCTGACTATGCACATATTTGTACCTTTATTATTTTTCCTGTCTAAATTATTGTTATTTTTGATTTGCGGGGCACACCCAGCATTGATCAGAGCTTGTTATTCTTGCTTTTGTACTACAATCAGGAATCACTCCTGATAGAACCATATAGGTTGCCGGGGATAGAATCTAGGTTGGCCAAATGTAAGGCAAGCACTTTATTAGTTGTGCTATCTCTCAGGTACATCTGTCAATTTTTCAAAAGTACTTTGGGGAAGATCAGTTAAGAACTTCCATGAATATATTTTTTAATTATGGTATATTACACATTGCTATTTTTATTATTATTGAATATTTTAGTTTAACAAGGAAAGAATAATATTTTGTTTGTACCCTTCAAAATTAACTATCTATAAGGGTATCATGTGTTAAAAATCAGGAAGCTAAATACTCAGAAACTACTTCTGGGATTCAAAGGATCACCACACCTGGTTTTCATATTTGAGTATTATCTATTTTTTAAAGGACCATCCCAAATTCCTTCTAATGCAATATGGTTTGTTTTTAAGGAATAAAATATTGGTAGTTTGCTGCGACAGAACTTTTTACCACATTTTGCAACCTCCTCTACTTTCTATTATTTACATACCTAGAGGTCTTCCTGAGTTCATCTGGTATATGTTCTTTAAATCGAATCAACATACAAGAAATCCAGGTTATATTTTTCTGTCCAGAGCATAAGATAGAATTCAATAGATGCTTCTAAGCCAATGTACAGTATACATTAAGTCAACAGCCTAAGCTGGGAATGTAGAGGTCTTGCCAAGTTCTGATGATGAGAATTTCTAGAAGGCAATGGCTACTTTTACAAAAATAATACTGTGTTCATCCCTAGAGTAGGAATACTAGCTCATAGCCAAAAGGAATGCACAACTGGTAAAATCTGAGCCGTTTTCCAGATGTTAAACTAAGACTCTGCTGCACCTTCAGAGCAGTAAAGAGAGGGGAAGATGTGTTTTTAAGCGTCTTTATCTTACTTAGGAACTTAGTATTTCATGACTTCTTCCTCCACCCTTTCATATCTTTAGGCCCATTTATAGGTAATTTGTATCTCTTCTGTATCCCTTTAGCAACAGTGTGTGTGTGTGTGTGTGTGTGTGTGTGTGTGTGTGTGTGTGTGTGTGTGTGAATTTGTTCCATTGAATCTTACTTGCTGTAGTGACTGCTTGCTGGTATTTTATCACTTCCCATAACTAGATGAGCATCATGTTTAAGCTTTGATAGTTTAATTTAAAATGTAATGTTTGTGATTGGGGAAGATTCCAGGGAACTGAAGTGGCTGGGCCACCCAGAACCTTGTTGTCTTTAACATGGAAACAAATGACTAACTAAACACTGTTATGGAAACCCAGAGTTTTTACCATCAATTTTTTGCCCTCTAACTTGATTGTATTCACATAAAGTTTGACCCAGCTGAGTAAGGCTTAACTCATCACTCTATGAGAATAAAAAGCAGACATGCTTAAGCATATGAAGGCAAGGAAACCAAATATTTTGATCTAAAAAGAGTTAATAAATGGCCAGATGACTAATCGTATGGATTTTAGCTTAGAATCTTTTGAAAAGAAAATAATTCCTAACTATTGAACTTTAGTTAATTTTCTTTAGGTTGTTAAATATCTGAGCTGCAATGTCCTCATTTGTAATACTGACAAAACAATGCTGAAATAATTGTGCATCTTTTACAATAAAGTAAATATACGGTACTTCAGTGATAGTACAGTGGAGATATATTTGCCTTATACACGGCCAACCCATGTTTAGACCCTAGCACTTCCTGTGATTCTCCCAAGACCTCCTAGTGATCCATCCTCAGTCAGGAGTAAGCCCTGAACACTACCAGGTGTAGAACAAAAAAAAAAAGAAAATCTGAAATATAGTAAAAGATAAAATTTTATTTTTATTATTTAGTTATGTGTAGGGGCCCGCTCGAACAAATTGATGAACAACGGGAGGACAGTGTAGTACAGGGCAGTTATGTGTAGACTACGTTATACTTTAGAGAAGCCCAATGATATAAAATAGCACTGTAGCACTGTCCTCCCATTGTTCATTGATTTGCTTGAGTGGGCACCAGTAACATCTCACAACAAATTGTGAGACTTGTTACTGTTTTTAGCAAATCAAGTACGTCACGGGTAGCTTGCCAGGCTTTGCCATGGGGGTGAGATACTCTAGGTAGCTTGCCGTCTTTCCAAGAGGGACAGAAAAATTGAACCTGGGTCGGCCGGGTGCAAGGAAGAACACCTTGCCCGCTATGCTATTGCTTCAGCCCATATAATATAAGCTGATAAAGTTGAGACAAAGTAATAATCACCTCTTTCTGCACTTCCATATTGTTTTTTTTAATTTAGTATGCTAATGAGTTTAGTGGAAATGACCTTTGCAATTATAAATAAGACAAATTGCTTAGGTTGTACTTTTTTTTCACTTATTAAATTATTTGACACCCAATACTTTATAAATGGCCATGGTGGATTGGAAAGATATCTCAAAAGGTAGGGGGGAAAGCTTCAGTGCTAGGTTTCTCCTTGCTGAATGTGTGGGAGATTTTGAGTCAATCCTAAAACATGGTCCCTGTTCCCCAGAACTTCTGGCTCTAATCCTGGAGACCCCTTAGTCCATGGAATTGACTCTAGGTCCACAAGCATCACTGGATGTTTCCCCCTACAAAAATTTAATTAGATTTTTTAATTTAAGCACCTCCTTTTCTTTTAAAGTCAGAAATTTAAAACTACCACACATATAAATACAGTGTCAGAATCTGCATATCTCAAATATATTTCACTAATTCTTATTGTTTGCAATTTTTCCTGACTCTCATATCTTTTCCTCAGTTGGGTTATAACTATAATGATAATGTTTGTGTAACAAAATGGTCTCTTGTAAGCTCTGAGATATTGGTATGTTAGTGGGTCCCCTCAAAAATTGTCATAAATTACTTAGTAAGTGACATTACTTTTGTTTATCCTTTATTACTCCTCACCTGAACAGACATTAAAGAGAGAGCACCATTAGACTAAATTAAGAATTCAGTTTTTTGCTGCAAGAAAGTAAAATTGCTGACTATGTAAATATAAATGGTTATCTTTGCTGCTTCTCAGCTCAGACTTCTGTACTATATTCTGAAATCCCAGCATTACACTGACAGAATTTTAATAGATGATGGATTGCACCAAATATCTACTCTACATAAGCAGCACGTCACATTAGAATCTCAGATGAATGCACAATTGAAATACCTATGCTTCAATACAATTAATATTTTGCAAACCTGTGCTGACAAAGAGAAAAAATCATAGTTCAGAAGTAACATTGTTCCATTTCCTGAAATTTTACTTAGGCTCATTTGAATCATAAATAATTTTTTGGCTTTTGTGTCACACCCGGCTATGCTCAGGTTACTCTGGGCTCTGCACTCAGAAATCACTCCTGGCAGTTCTCAGGGGACCATATGGGATGCCAAGTATAGAACCTGGGTCGGCCGCATGCAGGGCAAATGCCCTACCCACTGTGCTTTTGCTCCGACCCCCATAAATATTATTTTCTTCGTGTGGTTAGCTTTATTTCATTTTAAGGTAAAATATTGACTTGCTTTTTACTTAATTGAAAATTGATGATCTAATTATTATGATATAAGAAACACACGAGACCCTTATTGAACTCTTGGGTGATTGGTTGTGATACATAGCAAAATCTTCACTTTAATGATTAATACGCCTCAGGTGTACATCCTAAGAGCAAATATAAACTTGTTCTCTACAATAAGGTTGTTTAAGTAAGCTTCAGAGTATTGAGCTTGGCCATTTTTTACTTACAGAGATATGACTTACACATAATTTTTGATGTTCCAGCATTAAAGCATGCAGTTCTGTATGTAAAAGGCACACCACCAAATTTGGAAAAAATATTTAAATTATTAGGATTTTATTTAGAATGCAATTTTTTTTTTTTTGCTTTTTGGGTCACACCCGGCGATGCTCAGGGGTTACTCCTGGCTCATGCACTCAGGAATTGCTCGGGGGACCATATGGGATGCTGGGAATTGAACCTGGGTCGGCCATGTTGACTGCGTGTAAGGCAAACG